ATGGCCCAAAAGAAAATAACTTTTTATAGATTTTAAGTTGTCCATTTAAGGGTTAGTTTGTTTCTAGGACGTGATCTCTTATGTGATACATTATGTGAATAATTGTATTTGTATTTGTTTTTTTTCCATTCATATCTTGAGACTGATTTTAAGTTATGTCTTACTGTTTTTGTGGGTGTTTTGTCAGTTCCAGTTTCATGTGGGAAAACAAGACAGGATGAATAGGATGCTGGTACATTTGGTTACATTTTTGCAAAAAAACCTTGCCTCAGTGCAGATTTAAATACAATCACAGTTTTTTTTTTATCCATGTACATAGAAAAATGGGGTTTCTGTTGACCTTGGGTGGACTGGGTAAAACCAATCCAATCTTTATTGATGGAGCCAATCCTTGTTAAGGACACATTGTTCTTAGTCCAAATTATAGCAGCATGCTGCATGCTACCTGCATCCAAGAAAAACAAACGTCTGTCTGTTATCAATGTCCCCCAGCAAACAGAATAATGGTTGTGTTGGTGGTGATAGTGGTGTGGGATGACACATACTGGAGCGCTAATAAGAAACAGCTACTGTTTTCCACAGAAAACAGGATGATGGTTGGGAGAAGCTCAAAGCCTCGTATTGACCAAAAAAACATTAATCTCTTCTATTGTATTTTACAGTGTTTTGTTCTATTCTACTATGTTTATTTGCTTATGCTTAATGTGACAGCATTCTTGGCACAGATTCAGCTGATCATCAGATAAATAAGTAAAAGAGCATTCTCCTGTCTCAAAAGGAATATTGTGTCAGGCCAGTTAATATTGGCATATAAAAATTCACTTCATACATGGAGGGAGTCTTCATTCGTCAGCTGTAGCATTACCCTGACAACCTCCTAAGGTTTACTGCGGAGTTCAGCCAGATTATGAATAATGGAGAAAGGTCAGAATAGATTTTTAATGGATTTGTACCCCACATGGCTATGGCTGCATCAACAGGGATTTTGGAGCGATCGCTTTTATTACAAAGGGTGGGGTATGTTCTTTTCTGAACTGCTGCTCTGACTGCTGTTGAATCTACAATGAAAGTGTCATCTAATGTTAATACGGGCTATACTCTCCATGCCAGGGTTAATACCACTAATCTGTTCCGTGTGTGTCATGTCATGACCTAATTTTAAGCATCATTAAAGAGTGGTCGATAGGCCAAAAAAAATTGATGTAACCTAAGAAATATTGTATTCCTTAGGATCTATTTTTTTTTACCTATCTGTATATTGCTTCTTTGATGTGACTGTTGATAGTTGTGTGTTGACTGCTGTCTGTACAACAAATTGCCCCTCGGGGACAATAAAGATCCTTGATCTCTATATTAAGGCTGTTAGCATAAGCCATATGGCATAAGGCTGTTAAGGCTGCTATTGTTTACATTATTATTTCATTTGATGTGCATTGCAGTTACAAATGTATATTACTAAATATGCAGTGGTTCAATTATGTCTTATGCATGATCATTTTGCATTTGTTTTGTGAAGTAAATGTACATTTAGAGCAGTAGGTTATCCCAACACTTATCTTAAGTTAAAACAAGACAACTTTGTCCTGTGTCGTTCTACATACTACCTCACCTGACTTCCTCGTTTGCTCCTATCATAATAACTATGGCCACTAGAAGTCGCCGCCTAAGAATAAACATAAATATGGGCCGTAATAAGCTGCTTGCAGAGGCGGTCTATACAGCCGTACTTTTGGGGGAACATGTCCTCATACCGACTTGCGTCACGTGATGATAAATACGTGGTTAACGTCATGAAACAGTTGCAGTTTGGTTAGGCATAGGAAAAAAGTGAGATTGTTTGACCCATCCACCTCCTTACATGGACTTTCTTGCTCTTTATACTACGTCACCTGACTTCCTCCTTTGTAACTGTCACTAGAGGTTGCGGCCTAACAATAAAAGTAAATGTGGGTCTTAATAAGCCGCTGGAACAAACAACATATTCGGTCGTTTTTTCTGGTGAGGAAAGGCTGTTCTGGGGAGGACAGCCTGGGTTATCTAGGTGTTAGTCTTCTGTATTAGCTAATCAGTGATGAGTAATGTAAACTAGCATGTTCCTGGATGTGTGGGACTAAAGTGAATGAGAAACAGACAGGAATACAAGTGAGGAAAGCATAGACTGAGATACAAAAATTTTATTTAAAGGGATTAACTGTTTTATAATAAATTTTTAATTCTGTTTACTTGTGGTTATGTCTTTACTCATGCTGCTCATGCATATGCATGCTAACTAATGAGCAATAGTTGTTACTAAGAGTTACTAAGGTTCATGTTAACAGTATAGCTATTATATAAGCTAACAAGGCCTCTCTGCGCCATAGCTACAATTAAATGCTCTGTTTATTATTATAGCCGACCCTGCACCATTTCACCATGCAAAGTATAACATCAGTTAATGGTATGAGGTATGCCACAAAATACTGTAAAATAAGAATTGCATGGGAGGGCTACACAGACAAATAATAAATATATGCAGTTTTGTTGTGCAAAAGAGCAAATCTCTTCAGTCATTAGCAAATTAAGTCTTCGTTTCATGTTTCAAAGTGTCTAAGCAAAGTTGGGGCTCCACATCCATAAAACACTCACTGCTCGTTCCATGGTATGAGGAGGTTTACAGTAATCCCTCTTCTTAATAAGCCGTTTCATGTGCATCACTATTCAAAAAGGGGGTCTGGGTGGGTCTTAATCAGTCATTCTACTTCTGTTACTGCTCCAAAAGGCGGGTCAGGACATTAAATGTGCCCTTTTAATGTATTGCAGTGTGTGTGATGTGGGAGATGTAAAAAGAGTGTCAGGAGCAAGAAGGCTGAGAGTCGTGTCCCCCAGCTGACACCAAGTAAACAGTCACTTAGCTTGCATGTCCCTGTCCACCCCCACAACGCTGATGGAGACTAATGATCACACCCATGTGTAATTGCTCTGACATCTCGCTGTGACAGATCATATAGAGAGCAGTAAATCGGGAATGGCTTCACGCCAGTCTGGAAATGGAAATAGGACATTAGAAATATTCATCCATTATGGAAGGTATTTTCCAACTCGCTCAGTGGGATTAATCTGACGCTTTAATGGCAACTTTTAGGTTTTGAGCGTGTGGGGAATACAGACTCATGAGCCACACACATACTGTACCTACAGTGGCATTTACGACTTGACAGACAAACCACTTTTTTAAACACAACTATCCTTTGCACTTGATTTGCATAATTCCAATTAAATGCTCACTCAGACTCACCCAATCAGGGTGTCAAGTAGAAAGTAGGAGGAAACAAATCCTTTTATATGTTAATTTGCCTTACTACGACATTGTCTAGGCTGCCAGAAGAATGAATATTTCACACTTCAAACTGCACAGAGGCATTCTTCTAACATCAGTATGCAAAAATAAATGTGTTATTTCCATCATATTCAATTAGCTTTTGGCTGCTATTAAGCATTTTTCACACTGAAGATGCATTTTGATTCTGTCTAAGCAAATACTGATGACATTTCATAGTTCCTTTTTGTTAAAACTTCCAGTTTTTTTAATCATATATTTTGTTTGAGGTTGAAAGGCTTAATTTGCACACTAAAAATAATACTATTCATAAATCTGTTTCTCCACAGTAAACAGCTGGAAACATTCAGAAAGAGGATGAAGGGCTAATTGATTTTCTTGCTGACTTGAGTGGCATGACAGTTAGCACAGGTTTGGCAGCAGCAAGTATGCTGATTGATTCATGAGGCTGATTCAAAAACAAGATACCAAACAATTGAAACCCATTACATTTTCACCCACTCAATCATCAACACTAAAGTCATTGTGGAATGTCACTGACGATTGGGCTGAATCTACATAGATGTATATAATAATATGGAAAAATGTATACAAGTCACAGATAAAATAATCAATAACATGCAACAAAAACAATTACTCATTTTGGTAGTTTTTGTGTAGATTTTGCTAATTTGCTAATATAATAGTTTTCTCAATAAGTCCTTGAGCAACATGTGTGTAATTGATTTAGATATACTGTATGTGTATGCGGAAATGTTTAAGTCGCTTTGGACAAAAGCGTCTACCAAGTGAATGTAATGTTATTCTATTAGTCCACTGAAAGTTGATACACAAATTAATTATGATCCAGTCGTAACTGTATATTAAGCTCATGTCACATGAAAAAATGTAACGATCTGCATAACAGGAGGTGACAGCAGTACTGAGCTTTGAGCTTTTACTCTTGCAGGACATTTGTAATTTAATGAGGAAGGGAAAGATTGTATGCATATTAATTTTACTATTATTTATTTAGGCAACCTATTTAGAAGTTCATATTTACAGTAGGCTTTTCACAGGAGATCTATTTAGCTGCTTCAGTTTCTGGGTCCTGGTGTTGTTCATGCTGGCTGACTGTCACACATGCTTACTGGGACAGTTGAACAGTATCGAGCCATCAATAATGTTATTTGTAATGCTTGTTCTTTTCCTACTATGACAAGTGTGCTGTGAAAAGGGTATATCATGCTAGAAGGTAAGGGTCTTGGGACATTACCTTATGGAAAGAAATCCTTGTAGTATACCCGAAGCAATGCAAAAAGATACTGTCAGAAAGATAAGGCAGATAACAAGAACATAGCAGAATGGTTAAACAGCAGAGAAATTCCCCCCATGTGCTAATGATTTACATCACTGGCTTGATTTATCCATGCATAGTGTCACACCCTGAGTCATCCATCATGTCACCAGAAACACCTTGCCTTGAGGAGCCATTGACCTCAGTCAGCTGTATTATACTATATCATTTACAATGACTACCCCCCCCCCCCCCACGCACACACAGACACACACACACACTAATGCACACACTCCATCTTTCTCACCGTGTAACGCCAACCCTGTCTCACATACCAGAAACTCACAATCCTCTGTTGCTCTGGCACACACACACACACACACTGACCCGTGTTTGTCCTCCCTCCAGGTGACGATTCTGATCATCCTGGCCCTGGCCTTCCTCGCCTGCATCGTGTTCCTGGTGGTTTATAAAGCCTTCACTTATGACCATGCCTGCCCAGATGGATTCATTTATAAGGTAAGACCACAAAGGTGATCACAGACTTACAACACACGCACAAGAATTTACAAATGCCCAAGGTTACATGGTCAGATCAATTGTTTTGTTCACCCAATAGTCTAAAAAAGACTTAAAATACTTAATAATTAATAAAAAATTGCTTATTTGATTTCTTGACAATTAGATGAGAAGATAGATGTCTAGTTAGCTTAGCTTAGTTTAGCAAAAAGGACTGGAAACGGGGTGAAACTGAGGCAAAATCCAATTACCAACAACTCTAAGCTCACTAATTTGCATGTTATATCTCGTTTATCAGAAATGAGAGTTGTATCAAAACGAATAAGTGTGTTTCCTAGAACTATTCATTTAATAAATTGATTTATCAGCACTAGAGTTATATATTCTCACCTGCTCAGGTGTCCTTCCTATCTAAATAAAGAAGGTCTCCTGTGAGAGATGTAACAAAAAACCACCCTACTTTTACTAATTTCTGAGGTCATGTTACAGGAAGAGACTAACAAGGCTAATCAAACAGGCAATCATCAATCAGTGATATCAGTGATTTTGTTATGACCTGTGTAATCAAGTGTAATTTTGTGCTTTTGTTCCTTGACACAGAAGCCAAAGAAAGACACTCCATTAAGGGCCACTCTCACATGTCATTAGCCGTGTCGCCAATTAGATGAAAATTACACTCACTGCCTGTTTTACAATAATTACCGCATTATGATCACCAACTCCCGATCCATATTACTAAGGTCATAAAAGAAATTGTCTCATACAGCCATCCTTGTCTTACAATCTGCTGTTCAGACACACACTGTATTAGTGTTGAATCTTTAAAGTTTTGCAGTAGGCTATGTGGATGCAGCCTATGCTCTCCTCTCCTCGTACTTATAGATTTCCACTGCACTGCACAAGTTTCACAGTAGTTTGTGAGAAGTCACCTTGGAAGTCTGTGTCTCTGGACAAATTTGGTCTTTTAGGCGGAATAAATGTAGTTTCAGGCCCACAGCCTCTGCAGGAGCTCTGACTGCAGTCTGCAAAGGTATCATTAGAAGTGTCACATGCGCGTTCACCAGGTGCAAATGTGTCAATACAAATATGCACACACGCTCACTCAACACTACAAGACTACACACAAGGTTGTAAATGTATACACACTAAAGCAAATTAGATTAGATTAGACACAGATTGTAGGCTTTTTTTAATGGGGAGGCAAAATTGACCCTGTCAATAAACACAGTTTTTTAGCTATAAAACAGGGGTACTTTTTTAACATATCTTGTTTAAAACTATGAACACCACAACTACAGACTTTCTACAGAATTTAAGTTATAGAAAATAGTTAAATTGCTCTCCCAGTATTTTATCTAGTTGTGTATAAAATTGACCTATAAATTGTTCAGTGAATTTAATTTAGTCCTACCTTGATAATTTAGGAGCCTTTCACACCTACCTCATTTGGTGCGGACTTTCGAACTTTTCGGTTTGATCCGGACCAAAATTACAGGTGTGAAAACTTCCCTGGACCACAGTCCGGACCAAACAGACGAAATCTGGTCCGACGAAAAGAGGTAGTCTTGTGTCCGGATCAAACTGAACCATGGTTCGGTTTGTTTCTAGTGTGAAAGCATTTTTTTGGGTGGTTCGGACTTTCAGACCATTTACAGGAAGTTGGGCAGTTCCCGTGTAAACTGGAAACAAACAAATGGACGGAGAAATGCACTGAAATGAGGACACAATTATAAATCTCCCGTGACAGCTCATCTTTTAAACAGACTACCACTATGGAAGCAAACTGCCACTCACATCTTTGGTCTCTCCTCAAACAGAGATGCAGAAGGATTGCTTACTGTCCTCTCCTCCTTTTCTGTCCACGCCAATATAATGTTCACACAACAAAGATGTTTATCTGCAACAAAGATGTTTATCTGCCAAATTTGAGTATAGTTGGTACAACAGGTAGTGATGCAATAATAATATGGATATATGGCAACAATATGCATCTTTTCATCCCTCATTCATTCTTTCTTGTCCCCGGGGAACTGTTAACAAACCAATCAATGTCAAGTATAGGGAGACCTCAGCCCGCATAGATGATGACGTTAGGACGCAAATATGTAATGTAAAGTTCTTTAGTTCACTTGTAGAATTGCATTGTGAAACCAAACTAAAACTAACCGAATATATCAAAATGTGTCAAAACATGAACTTTGGTTGGACCTTGGTGCAGACTTTCAGGTGCGAAAGCCCCCTTAGATGCTACATGTAGCACCTTTAACAGCAAATTAATTGATATATTTTCTAAACAGCTCTATTCTCTTTCTCCCTCACAGCACAAGCGGTGTATCCCAGCCTCTCTGGAGGCCTACTACGCTGCCCAGGATGCCAACTCGAGGGGCCGTTTCTACACAGTGATTAGCCACTACAGCATGGCCAAGCAGACCACCTCGCACTCTGTCTCCCCCTGGCTGCCTGGAGGGGCGAGTGGGCAACAGCATGACACGAAACCCCCGAGTAGCGAGGGCCACTGAGTTAGCTGAGTTGAAGGGTGTTGTAAACATATACAGACACATGCAGACATATAGATGCAGACATACACAAACATGTTGGTGAATATTTAGAAAAAATAGACAAAAGAAACGCATAAACACAACAGCTACACATGTAATATCAATATAGAGTGAAAACATGCATGCAGACATAAAACCACACACAAGTACATGCTATGTCATATTCTGATTTACCTTGACTGCCCATTTATGTGCTCACTCTCTTATCAGGGTGCATTTCCCATTGAACCTTTGCTGTCTTGGGATTATCATTGTCTGCTAATACTGTACACACACACACACACACACACACACACACACAGTCTGCTCTCTCGTTACCATGTTTACTCCCTTCCTCTAATTTATTATTTATTGACTGCCATGATATATTTATTTTTTACAGTGATGTGTGGATGATTTGTATGTGATGAATTTCAAGCTTCCTCTGAGATTTTATGGAGTTTGGAGTCTTTTTTTTCTCATGCGTGTATACTGTAGTTATTGTACTTTTTTATTCATGACTTCTTTTCTTTTCTTGCCTTTCTTGTCCAAACTGAGTAACCTCAGGCACATCTGTCAAACACCACAAAGACACACACACACACACACACGCAAACACATATCACTTAATATACTGCAATCCAAAAAATGTCAGTATGGTCTTGTATTGCTGTAACACATTTTTAAACACAAAATTTCAGCTGTACTGTCTGAGGAAAGTTTGACGCTGGTGTCCACATCCTGAGTTGATTGAATGAATTTTCCCATCATGGCTGTTTGATAGCTCATAATACAGTGACATTTCAGTGTGCTGTGCTATACATTTTAAATCCTGAAATCCCCCAGTGACCCAAGCTGTACATACAACTGTGCGTTCAGGCTAGTTTTTTGTATGTATGCATTGTAGTAGTTTTTTTTTAGGTTTTTCTTTACAGTTCCTTCATGCAAGTTACTTACATATTCCTTTAGCAGCCAGTCTTGTAGCTCCATTAAACACAATGTTGCTGATGGGAAAGAAAATACCGTGCATACCACAGTCTCTTGCCAAAACTCTTATTTTATGCTGTGTTTCTAGTTATATTATTTGATGGGCTTCAACAGCCTCTACAGTTCCTCTACTGTTATTTTTCATTTTGTAATGTTGGATCTGTTTTCAAGAGCGCTTTTATGAGATATTGTGATGTTGTTAGTTGATATGTAGCGATACTTGATGTGATTTCTCATTGTGCATCCTTGTCCCTCTTCTCTTGGTTAGAATTCAAAATAAAACAAGCTGTGACCTATGCTGTGTGTGTGTGTCTGTCAGTCCCACTTACTGCTGTGTCTCTTTGGCGCTCACACAGCGCCTATTGCACTCCCGAGGCAGTGCAGTGTGAGTGACAGTGATGGCTTTTCATACAGCACATTATATTATTCAGATGTTCATACTCCTACTTAAATTCACACTATGATAGATATGTATTCTGCTGTTCATGTGTAGAAATGTCCAGAGCTGCAGAGAGTAGGTTTGTCGGCTGTAAGGAGCACCTGTGATTGACAGCAAAATAGTACCAAACAAAAACCTGTATCTGTAGGCTAACGGCAACTGGATATATAATTCATCCACAGAGTCCTCTGCAAATTGCAGATAAGGTCACTATTTTTCTTATGTGCAGCACTAACAACAATGTTTTCCGTGAGTAACAAGAATAGCTGGCTTTCCTAATTAGAGGCTTGTATTCTAATGAATCCATCAGCTGTCTCTGATTTTCACTACTGAGGAATGCAACCCTCTTTGAATCCAACAGCTTTCAGAGGAAAGAAAACACAGGGCGAAAAAATATTAACACATATGCATCATATTCAACAGTTAAAATGTCCAGGAAGATGGCTTCATATAGCAATCAGTGATCTCATAATCTCCCATTAACGTCAATCAGTAAGAGGAGACAAACACCATCCTGACATTAAGCAGAATCCAACATGTACTGTATAATAACAGCAATACTAAAGTATGACCTTGTGTTGAAGCATTTTAATGTCCCATCAGGGGCCCTAAAGTGCCAGAAAATAAAATGCATCACTATTAGTTTATGCCAAGTAAGGTTCATATAAAAGACAAATCAGTGTCTCCAAGACATTGTAGCAGCAGTAATATAGCCTAAAGCTTTTTACTTTTGTTGTCTTACTCTTTAATAATAGATAATAATTTAACCATTGCACACAATCAGTTTGTTGTCAGATGGTGATCTACTTATAAATCAAAATTTTTCACATTTAGACTCAGAAAACAGATTTATTCTATACTGCATTCAGTGCTCTACATAAAAAGCCCATGATAGCTTCATTAAAGGCTTTTCTATCTTAACATTAACCTTGTGGTTTTGTGGCAATTGTGCCTGTTCCTTCATAATGGCATACTGTTTCTGATTTTATATCAATCAATCAATATACATTGTCATATATAATATTATGCATTTTCTCGAAAATCTAATGAGATTTGTCAATTTTTGCCAAATCCAAATGAATACCTATAATTTATATTCAGCATTCATCCAGTCACTTCACACAATCCTACTTGTTGTTCATCAAAGTATCATATGCATGACAGCCTATTCAAATATATTCATAAAGTGAATCCACTGGGTCTTAAATGAAAATGGTATAATCACAGGAGAACATTAAAATAGGGCTACACAGTCAATGCATGTGTTCCGTCAGAAAAACCAACAAAGCAAACTAACTTCTCACATTCAGCACATGTTGTATTGCATCCTTCTGGAAAAATAAATAAAATCTCCAAGTTAAAGATCAGTTTCTTTCTGACTTAAATAAATATTGTTAGTGCAATCTGTTGCATGTATTGTTGCTTTTCACACCCAACAAATGGAATGAAAGACAGCCTTACAAAAGTAGATGTTTAGAGCTATACTAGCGTTACACAACTACACTGTGTCAGTGTCAGCATGCTAACATGCTGACAATGACAATGTTAACATGCTAATGTTCAGCGGTTCTCAAGGTGGTGTCTGGGAACCCCCAGGGGTCCTTTAAATTGATTCAAGGGGTCCCTAGAAAAAAAGAGGAATAATTTATTTTTCACTATAATTCCATCCATATACTGTAACAAATTTTGTCATTAAATTACAGTAAAATACTGGCAGCTACAGTTGCCAGCATGAAACTGTTATTTTACAGTGTAACTACTGTAATCAATAACAACAGTTTATTTCTGTAAAAAATATTACAGTAATGTGCTGTATTGAATATAAGTATTACAGTATAATACTGTTTGTGTTGTGGTGGCAGCCCGGCTGACGGTGAGTGTCCTGGTTTTTTCTCCTTTTTATCAGTTTTTCTGCTTTTTCCTTGGTTTTCTGTTCCCTGCCTGCCTCCCTGTGTTTTCTCCCCTGTGTGCTCTCTCTCCCTCTGCTCCTGAGCCCAGGCAACTACCTGCAGCTCATCAGCCACCTCGTCAGCCTGCCACACCTGCCAGTAATCACCTCATGCCTGCCTGTATTTCAATCCCGGTTCTCCACACCATCCTCGCTTGATCGTCGTTGCTCCATACCCGGTGCCACTTCCGTGTTCAGGCTTTCATGTTTCTTGTTTTTCCACATTTTCCCTGTGCCTTGTCGCTGCCATCCCTAACCCTGTCTCTCTGTCTGTTTCCCTCCCAGGTACACTCACCCTCGTCCTCCCTTCAGTCAGCTGGGCTCATCCACTGGCCCTCTCCTCCTCAGACTTCCCTCACAGCGTCCTCCCTGTTCTTCCACCGCTCCTCGCTTCCTCAACCCCAGTGTTCCCCGGCTCTCTGGCCCCCTGTCTCCTTGGTTCATCATGCCTGTGCTTCCCCGACATCCACCTCTTCCTCCAGTCCCTCAACCCCTTTCTCCCTCAATAAACCTCCTTCCCTCCAAACGTTGCATTTGGGTCCTCTCTGTCCCCACACCACACAACCTCGTAACAGTTTGTTTGGTTTTACAGTATAACACTGCTGTAAGCTAATGATTTAAACATTTTACATTTAAAATTATAAAAATACCTCAAAATTTGTAGCATATAAATGGATCAGACAAGAGATGGCCTTACAACATGTGGCATTTATTAAACTCAATGTGCTATCAAAAAAATTAAATGATAAATTTTAAAATAAGTACATTTTTGTAAAATATAATTCATTAAAACGCAATTTCTGAACAGGTTCTCAATATGCTATACTAGCCTAGTCCATGTATCCTATAATCAGTTAAATTATTTTCTTGAACTATGACAGCCATGTAACATTATTTATTAAAGCCACTGCTTCATACACCTTCAGTAGCTGATAAATTTACAGTAACGTAATTCTTGTAAAATACAATCCATAACAACAATTAATCATCTCAAGCAGATCCTCAACAATCTTTCAACAACTTGGATACCATACTTAAAACTGTACCCTGCCTTCAGTAACCATAAGTTATGATCATTACGTGCAATAGAAAGCGTGTGAAAGAACAAACCTGGAACTAACAGTACTCAACTCAAACAATAGGACTCAGCTATACTGAACAGAACACAATGCTCAGACATGTTACCTTAAAATGACCTCATGAAGATGTGGTTGTTTGAGGGCTTTCGTTTGTTTCATTTGTTTCCACAACACATCTCCACACAGGAGATGTGTTGTGGACTACATAAAGCCTCACTCAAAGTCCAGGAGTTTTTTTTTTACAAGGGTGGCCACATAGAGATTCACAGTTGCTGCCTTTTTATGGACCAGCTTCCTGGTCTTCTTGGACACCACCTTCCCCTAGCTGGCCTTTGTTCCCCTCTTGGGGTTGATACCGTTGAAGTGCCTAAAACAGAGAAAGCATAAAAGAAATTAGGTGTGCTAAGTAAAGATTATTTGTACTCAATATGTAATCCTCTCACATTAGACATTCCACTTTAGATAATTTCAAAAGAGGAAATACTGGCTATAGTATTGTTGTCATAGAAGTCAGTGTTTCAACTTAGCATGTTTCCTAAATCTGACATATCATGGTTATTTTGTGATTTAGTACAGTAAATATATTATATATTGGTCCTTTAAGACTGTACTTCAGATTTTTTCAACCATGGTGTCTATTGTTAAAAAACTTCAGATATGCATGCATTATCCTCGGTTCAGACCTCACAGGCAAGCACAGTGAAGCCCTCCTCTCTATCACATCGCTCTATATATCTATTATCTATATTTTAGCATGTAACTAGTAAATGTATACAGTATAGCAGTTTCTGAAACTTTGCTTAGCCTCTATGTTTTGTGTCCATGCATGCCTGCAACATGGGTTAACACAAAGTATTGTCAAGAAGTAAGTTTCACTTTGTAATGCTTTTGTCTTTTACATTTGATAAAATCAACACACAATGTCATAAACGGGTAATGCTGACTTTGATAAGATTGAAATTACCTTGTTAAGTAAGAGCAGGATGGATAACAGTGTGCAGGCTTAGGCATGGAAGAAAGCACCTGGTGGTGAACTGCTTCGTCCACTTCAGTGCTGCCAGGGCTAGAATCCTGGTGAAAATTGTCTTCAGTTCTTTATCTCTTTATTATCCTTCCTATTATGTTGATTAAAATCACTACTCTATAATGCTAAACTCGTATTTATTAATTTATGTAAGTTGACCACGTGCTAAATGAGGTGGTGTGACGTGAAGCAACATGACGTGATCAGATGTTATCAGCGGACTCAAGCAACAAAACAAAAAATACTGTATTATACCATGACATTGTACAGTAGCTTGCTGTTAATATGTTTTTCCCTCAAAGGCATCAACATTGACAGTATTCAACGGTATTTACAAATAACGGTGCATTACTGTACAAAATGTCCCGTTATTTTACAGCAGTTTGTTACGGTGTAAGAAACACAATGGCAGAACGTATGACTATTTTGGTTGTGGGTTTCATACACTTTATGTAATAAAAACAAAAAAATCAGATGGGTGATCCCGGGGCAAAATCTTGGGGGTCTAATATGTGTCAGTTTAGGGGTCCTTGATGTGAAAAAGTTTCAGAAAAAGTGCAGGTATAATGTTTACCATGTTCACCATCTTAGTTTAGCATAATATGCTAACAGTTGCTAATTAGCACTAAACCCAATGCACAGCTACGGGTGATGGGAATGTCGACCAAATGTAAATCAAAGTACAGAAATACTTTGACTTGACAGTAGATGGAAGGTTAACGGATCACCAAAGTTGCTACAGTTCATGCTAAGGAGGACCTTGAATGTGTGTACCAGATTTCATAGCAATCCATCTAATAAACATTG